AGTGCCTAATTGATTAAACCAATCACCCACCGGTGTAGCACCATGTGACTTCCGTCACAATAAGCGTTCGTTTGGAGAACGAAGCAACACGGGACAAGGCTAATCGAATTTTCATTTGCAATTCAAGCACGCAATTTTTACCGCGCCTGTCGCTCTGGGTCGAACTATACTGGCCGGAATGCGTTTCCGGCTGGCATGTTCAGCGTCACGTTTCGTTCACGCATAAAACGTGACCACGAAGAAGCAACAAGTGACGTCACTAGAGTCGGCGTCTCACGTTGTCCGTCGTCGCGACGCTGGCGGTTGGTCGTAGAATTTCCGGCAAAAAGCGTGGGCGAACGCGAGTGTCGCAGTCGTCCCGGCGTCTCAACTGCAGGCTGCCAAAGCTTCCGTTGGTCATCAAGCTGGAGAACGACTAGCGGTAGACCAGGCGTCTGCAGAATCCACCTCCGCCCGCGTCTGTAGTCGGCACGATCGAGGCAGACAATAGCACAATACGTCTGAAACGTCATTAGGGGGAAATCGAGGCACCTTAAATGAGAACGGGGTAAACACACCGGTCGCAGACGCGTTTGAAGTGCTATAGTTGAACGGAAGTAGGCTGGAAAGACGCGGAAAGTAATGCCAGTGACGGATAAGCGATGGAAACGCTCCAAGCAGCATTCGCGCTCACCACGCACTTGTTCGAACAAAAAGGTCGGGACAATCCCATTGTGCGTCTAACCAACGGCAGAGTGAACAGAGTAAACAGAGGAACGTTGGACGGGGACCGCGGCAAATTAATCGAACCCCGCGACCTTTGTGCGGTTCGGTCGACAGGCGCCGGAACGCGAGTCTGCGGCGGATTCTTCGCCAAAACAATCTATCGGTCTGGAAGCAATGACGCACGGGGCGAGGAAAGAATACGACACGCCGGCGCTATCTGAAAAGATTTGCAACGTGCACGGGACAATCCCATGCCGACTGATGCACGCGCATGGGATTGTCCAGGCTGCGCCGAAACTTGGGATACAACAAATAAGAAGGAATGACGATAAATAAAGAATAGGGGATAGTACAGCGTGGCACCAGTTTGATAGATACGCCTCGACCAGCCGTCGTTCTATTCGATGCAGAGCAGAAAGACGACGCATCATCGCGAATGACAGGGCCACGGCGGTTCTCTTACCTCCCGCTACGCTTCAATTCCGGACATGAAAAACGACACGTTCGGCGCACCTGCGCAGGTAAGTGTTTTTGAGATGCCAACAATGGGAATTGATGGCCGAGTGTGTTCGCGTACCACAGTTCGGAACACGTGGGGCGAAAGCTCGCGCTGCAGAACCTTGGGGACTCTGAACTCAATCTCCACCTCTGTCCGTTTCGATCCGGATGAGCACCGTACCGGCGTGCGGTCGTCTACCACTACTGCGTCATGCACGTGAAAGACCCGGGCTATACGTGGTACGACTGCACTTGCTAAATTTCTCATCTATATACAGGGTGTTTTTTTTTTTAAGCTTACCAGATTTGTTTTAAGAAAGCCGTGAAAGTTACACTTATGCCGCTTGTGGAGGTGAGTTATACGGCCAGGGGGACATATTATAGGGGGCTAATCGTAACAATCGATCGGCTAATTAACTAAAATTCGTTAATTATCTTTTTAATGAATAAAAATAAACATATGGTTCCAATTAGAAACTTGCTCAGCATCATCAAAAACCACTAAATCATTCATTTTCAGAAAGACTGAGCGCGTGAGAAGCGTAGTATTGTACTAAAGTTACCACTCTTGGAGCAGGTACAAGGCTGGGGCTAGATAAGAGACGGAAAAATTTCTCGGGCGCCTTATCGCAACCGCTAGCTTTGTACCTGCTCCACGAGTGGTAACTTTAGTGCACTACTACGCTTCTCACGCGCTCAAAGTCTTTCTGAAAATTACTGATTTAGTGGTTTTCAATGACGCTGAGCAAGTTTCTAATTGGAACCATATGTCTATTTCAATTAATTAAAAAGTTAATTAACGAATTTTTATTAATTAGCCGACTGAGCGTTACGATTATCCCCCTATAATATGTCCCTCTAAACGTATAACTCACCTCCACAAGCGGCATAAGTGTAACTTTCACGGCTTTCCCAAAAAACAAATCTGTTAAGCTTAAAAAAAACACCCTGTATATATATATGGCGGAAACCAGTGTCGCGGTGAACCTCAAAGGCAGACCGACCTTATGCTGTATAAACACAAACGTCTTTTTTTTGTATTTTGAGTTGAGATATTAACACCTAAGACTGCTATAGACGAACGCAAGTATACGGCCTCTGGGCGCCGCCATCTTGCTTCTGTTGTGGGTCGACCGTCTGATTGTCAAGCATGCACTACCGAGGCCACCGCGGGTACGCCTCGGCAATGCTTGACTATCAGACGAACTACTTATACCAGCAGTAAGATGGCGGCGCCCAGAGAGGCCGTACACTTGCGTACGTCCCTATACGATACTTTGCGTTTCACTTTAAGGTTCGACCGCTGCCGACGCTATACGATCCGATGGATCCAATCAGGCCTGCTATCAGCGACTAAGCCAATCACGCCGCGTAGTGAATGCGCCGCGATCCTGCGATTCTTTTTCGTGCCTGATTGGTTAGGCTGGTTATGGCAAACCCACAACGTGTGTCATGACGATGCACTTTTAGCCATGTCTGATTGGCTCTATACGATTGTAGCGCCGGCAGCGGTAGGATTTAACGTAAAACGGGTGCATTTTTTTTCGTAGATTGCTGGCGATAAGTTTGTTTAGACCGGCGCATAACAGTGAAGTACAGACGATCACTTTTTTTTTTTTTGGGGGGGGGGGGGGGGTGGAGGGGGGGATTTAGCGTGCATCACTTTGTTGTGCCAAATTGCGTGTTTCGTGCTGTCGTTATATATATAAAAAAAACAAAAAAAAACAACAAAAACACGTGCCGGTATGTTGTTTGTTGAAACTGGAATCACGACAGTGAGAATTGATAGAGCATCCCCGTGAGTGTAACACTGGTAGTTCCCTTGTATCTAAAACTCAGTTTCAGTTTAAAGATTAAAAACAGTTTAGAGTTTACTAGAGACAAATACAGCCTAAAACATACACCGAAACTTTCACCGAATAACAACCTACACCAACAAAGGAACTTTTTTTTATGTAACAGAACGACGGTGCCGAATCTCATCCCGAAATTTGTGAACAGTTGGCAATTATCCCTTCCGGCATCCCACTTCCAACGCTTTGTGCCATGCAGATACTGTAGAGACCGGTTATAACGGAGTCGGTTATAACGAAATAGCGGATACAGCGAAGCGATCACGATTTACCATTTACTTTTGCACTTCGTTATAAACCAAGCCGGTTATAACGAACTAGCGAATAAAGCGAAGTGATTTCCGATTCTCGTCGTACAGAACTGGTTAAATGTTCTACAGCGTGAATCAGTTTCCCATACCTCAAAGGCAGTACCAAAAGCAGCTTTTGGGCTATTTGGGTAAACATAGCGAAACGCGAATATTAGAGCCGGGTACTGATTAAAAGTTTTAACCAGCTTAATAAATTGCTACCCTTTTATTGACTAATTAATCGATAAATCGTTTTTGTCGACCTCTATGCCTAATATCGAAAAAAAGTGTAAAAAAACTACGCACACTGTCATTTAAAACGTAATGCTGTACTGTATGCGCAAAAAAAGAAAAAAAAACGCGGGCAAGCAAGTGTAAAAAGAAATACGTTCACAATATTTTTGTAGAATTAAAATTGCTCTGGCCGACAGTCATATGGAGCGATAAAGTGGTTTGCCGTGAAAAAACAACAGTCCTGCATTCTAAAATGAAAACATGAGGGACAACTAATAAAGCGAGTATTTTTCTCTAACCATACTTCGTCTCATCCTACGATGGACTAAAGGCCAAAGCCACGGGCCGCCAGGTCCAATCACGTTCCACGCTGTACTATGACACGCTTAACATTGATTAGGGGTGGACGAATAATGATAGTATCCAAAAGCGCCCCATCATTTTTGTAGCTTTGACGCTGCAAGGAGCCTATATGTCGTGGCTTCCTTTGCGATGTAAAATTGTTGAGTCACTCAGTGCCCTTCGATTCGAACCACTGTCCACCCGTCCCCTCATCAGTGATCCGAGACGAGGGTACCGACCGATACGTGCATCGAAGCGAAATACCGCACAATTTCTAAGTGGCTCATGACTGGATCTGGCGGTCCGTAGCTTTTGCCTTTAGTCCATCGTAGGGTGGACTAAACCGATTAACCGGTTAACGAAATATATTGCCAATAAAGCATCAGTCGATGAATCCGAAGGGAAGTCTATCAATCTCCCAGCCCTAGCAAGTAGAGCTACATATATTGAGCGCTCGAGCTAACTTCGTTGCCCGGAGGGCGTCTCTGACTGGTGTGTTTATCGTGTACCCTTGAATTCCGCCTGGTGGCGTTATATAAGTGTCATGCCGTCGCCGGCCGCAATCCAGGCGGTGGTGTACACCAGCGGGAGTGAATACGGTAGACACCTTTCCTGATGTAGGTGGTCGCTCTGCAGTTTGACAGCCCACGCAAGCTTTCGCAGCCAGGAGTTGCGACGCCGCGACGACAGAGACGTTCGCGTACGCTCGTCTTTTCCCCCCCAGAACTTGTACACCCAACCACCAGAATCGCGACATCCGATAGCATGACGCGCCGGATTTTTTGACGTCAAAGCCGGCAATAAGATGACATTTCTAGGACGTTACTATTAGGCGAAAATCGATTGACAACTTTTTAGGACGTGGTAAACACACCAGTCGAAGACGCGCTCCAGGCTCCCATACTAGCATCTGCGATCTTTGTGAGACGCTACAAGCGCGCGCTCGCAGTTACACGGGCGCAGGATAGGTGGCGCTTAGTCGATCCACTAGTGACGAGGTTAAGGAAGGGGAGGGGGTGGGGATAGCCCTACGTGGTAATACTAGAACATGCCAGCGGTGACGCGGTGTACCACTCACCTCGAAGCGGAAAGGCACGGCAGCGTCTCCCAAGGCCTCGAGCAGCCTGCGGTGGACGTTTCCCAGCTGCATCGAGTAGAGGGGGCGTCCCGGGGACCGGGAGGGGCCCGGTGCGTCCCCGGGGACCTCGAGGGCGTCGGGGCAGAGCTGCGTGTGACCCAGGTAGATCTCCCGGCACAGGGACATGCCTAGGATCTCGTCCTCCTCGCGGCCGTAGCGGAACCTGCCCACCAGGGCCACGTAGAGCCGCTCGCTGGGCTGCAGCTGGCTTCGGTCGAGCACAACCACGCCCTCTGGGGGAAGACAAGGAAGACAACGAACGGGTTAAGTCGCGGTCGCATGGTTGATACATCACGCAGAAGACAGTATGCATACACTGTTCCTTTTTTGTATCCTCTGCTTTTAGACTTAGGCTAGGCGGCGCAAGCTACCGCCCGTTAAAAAGGGTATAGTCATTAACATCCGTTCATTCATTCGGGGATTAACATCCGGCGCAAGCATCCTTCCGTTACAAAGGGTATAGCCATTAACATCGATCCATCCAAGGGTGTACACCCTAGAAGAGTTGCACTCTTTGGATTTTAGACTTTATTCCCAACTGATTACAAGCAGTTTCACAGTGTTAAATGAACGCTTTGGAAGTTCGCTTCAGCACCCGCGCAGCAGCACGAAACAAATGCTCGGCATAGTCAATGTTTAGACTGCCCACTCGACCTGCAAGCCTGCCGGCGCGTGACGTCAAGGCACTGAATAGTGCGGGCATATTTGAATGCTGGTTTTGGCATCATTTTCACTTGCCGATTTCGTAAAAAACTATTCTGAATTTCGCGATACTAAATAGCATATAGGAGAGGGTAAAGGCCGGTGATTCTGAAAATATAGTTAGTTGGGATAGCTTAAAAAAGCGCCTTTAACCTGCCCCCCCCCCCCCACACACACACACACACACAAAAAAAAAAAGAGGTGCAGGCGCATCTTTGATTGCATTGGCATTGAACGTTGACCCCGAGCATTTGCAACTTCAGCAAAACGGACAGCCTCCTGTGGGAAAACACTGAACTGAACGAAAGATGTACTTTCGCGATTTCAGCTCGTCGCATGTGGCTTCCGCGATTACATGTTGTTGTCGGCGGTTGGCTCGATGGAACAGTTGTCCCGTATGACCATGTTGTTTCTGTCGTATAAGCGCGCTGCCCAGATCTCTCTGAGACTCAACCTACGCTACCGCGTGAACCAGATATATTGCGTTTATCAACCTTCATCACTACCGCAGTACTTTCATCGCTACCTCGACGATGGTCAAGCCACTGGAAGCTCTGTCAGCCAACACATCGCCGCAGGTTCGAAACGTCATTAATAAAGATCGGGGCAAACCATTTCGAGTCCAATGCTTGCCCGCTGAAGCCCGAGCGTGCTGCGTTAAGATGGCACATGTCACGGCACGACCTGTTTTAGACCACCTTATGTTCCCGTTAGTGGCGACCTTTAGAGGTCGCTGGAGTCGCGAATAGATCAATTAATTTGAGGACCTTCGAGCAAGACACGTGCCCCTTATCTTTCCTAATGTTCGTCACCCTTCTTTAATTCCTATTTTTGCCCATTTTTGCTACATCAATTTACTAAGCCCCCACAGTAGGGGAAAAAAAGAAAACAAAAAGTGGTTATTAAATTAACTGCTGATGAGGGTTGAAGGAAAAAGGGGTCTCAGCTCCTGCTCCAAGCGTTTGGCAGAGATTTTGCCAACTGACAGCGTCTAGTAGTGCTCCTTACGTGCAAGGATGGTGTGATGAGAACGATGGGTTTCTTTGCCTCAATTAAGGAAATACTAAGCTCGCTTATTTGGCGAGAAGATTTATTTATTTAATAAATACTACCGCTGATTCAAACCAGTCGATTCCTGGAGTATGCACGTAATTGTAGGACAGTAAATTTATTCATCAATCGTCCGCAAATAAAATGAGAATTCAAGGGCGTCATTTAAGGGTGAGTTAATTTTCAAGGTGCATTTAAAGGTGTGTCAACGATCACATTGGAGAGCGTCACCACTCTCTACAAAACAGTGGGAGGTCATCATTCTGTACATTCCAGACCCCTTAATTAAGGCAGTTAAACTAAATCGCGAAAAGTCAAACAAAAAGCGAGCTAAAAAAAAAAAAAATTAAGGCTTTCGTGAAAAGAAATGACGAAAGCGCATGTATATATTTAAATTGTATTCGCGACTCTAACAAAACGGACGGCACCTAGCAGAAAAACACAGAACTGGCCGGAACAGGTTCTTTCGCGATTTATGCTTGTCTCTTGTGGCTTGCGTGATAACATGTCGTCGGTGGTTTCTGCGATAGAACCGTTGTCCCGGTAACTCAGTCGTTATTGCAGTATCAGCTTATTTCCAAGTTGCTCTCCACGCAAGCTACGCAACCGCGTGAACCAGACATTCTGCATTTATCAACGTTCCTAAGCACCGTGGAAGGACAGTAGGCACTCCTTTCATCGCTTCCTCGAGGAAAGTCAAGCCTCTGGCAGCTCGTTTGCGCCAACACATCGCCGCAGGTTTGAAACATGGAGGACAGAAAGCGGGACAAACCATTTTGAATTCAATGCTCGCTGATGCCCCAGCGTTGTGCGTTGAGGTGGCACATGGCACGGCACGACCTGTATTAGGACGCCATATTTGCCCGATAGTGGCGTCTCCTATAGGTAGCTGGTGTCGTGAATTGATTTGGTCTTGACTTCAAACATCCAAATATTGAATGATTTGTAAAACACAGGTAGATTTGTTTTCACCGTATTTAATATATTCGATGACACAAGCACCACGAAGTGTTTGTTAAACGCATATATATATTACGTTTTTACATATTTTTGACTTTATTCATTTTGCAAGTTAGTCGTATTGGCACTGCCATAGCCTCCTTTATACTGACAAAGCCTGGCAGATCGTAATGAGACGCGGCCGTCGAAAGTGAAAAGGTAGAGCGGCAGACAGCGGATGACAGGAGAGTCATGTAACCGGCGCCCCGCTGCGGCGAAACGCCGAAACACACTTCTCCTAAGCGATAGAATGTCCGCTCGTGCTCCTCGTGTTCCTCGCTTGTCCTCGCCGCTGCAAACGCTGTGCGCCCATTACGAGCTTCCCCGAGAAATGCTCTGTGCTACCAGATCCTCGCGCTCGAAATCTGCGACCGGGCGCTCTATGGCTTCGTCGTCGAACTGCGAGGCTTTGCGAGTATATAGCGGAGGCTATGGCACTGCAAACGAGAAGCGTAAGCATGTCACGCGGTCGCGCTACGTATCGAAAACCCTAAGCGTGAGTATCGCCGCGCGCCTGCCTTCCTATGGCTTAGGAGTCCGCTGACCCGTTGGGGCTCCATATTCTAGCATAGCATAGTATTTTAAAGAACCGATTAGTGGCTTGTTTTGTGCTAACTTCAGCACAAATCCTTTACACCGAAAGCGGTTTATATTTCACTTAGTGCCACCTGTTAAATAAAAAAAAAAGCTGTTAATTGCGTGTTCGCGTTAAAGGGACAATGGAATGATTTCTTCAACTTCTTCCCCCTTAGCTTTAATCCTTAACTCAAAAGCGATAGAAGAAACCACGTGGTTGTGACGTAGTTTCTCACCGGAATGCGATCACTCCATGCTTTCACTGTGCTTTTTAATACGCACACCATAAAATTTGTCATTTGCAAAGGATGAAAAGTGCCGTGACGCCGCCATTGACCATAAACGCGAATCCAAATATTCGTCGTCGGATAGATTGTTAACGAGCGCATACGTCCCAGTGACGTAGATCTCGTGTCCAATGTTTGAGCTAAGTTCGGCTGGCGCTCTTGGGCACCTCGGATGCATCAGAGTGAAAAGGCGGAGAGCTTTCGAAGGAAAGGAGCTACAAAATAGTCCGCTACATATTCGAACTTTCGTACCGAAAAGCAGGCTTTTGACTTTCTAACCTCTCTGTTTTGGCTCTCTAAACGATACGTGATCAGTAAAATTCCAACCTAAAATTATTTATCCCAGCCCAAACTTTATTTCATGGCGCCTTTACCTTCTACCCCTCACGTGCACTCAGGTTGCTGTACACCGTTTCAGCACAGCATGGACTGGAGCGAAACTAGAGCCATGGGTCACACCGCTTATACATCATACAGAAGACTGTCCGCATACAGATCTGAACGCGAGCCACCGCGAGAACCGCGCTTCGAGTGCCGCATAGCATTGAATTCAAGCAGGAAACTTGGCACGCAGCATTCGAACCACGGAATATTGCCGTGACTCGTGTGTTTGCAGACTGTCGTTTGCATAATGTATGAGCAGCGTGACCCTGGCTTTCCATGCGCGAGCGGTAATAGCGTTGGTTCGTACTCCAGTTGCGTAAGCGGCCGTGCAACCGCGGCCCTTTCCGCAGCCACGAACACTCGCTCGTAACCTTTGCTTTCGGTTCTTGAGACGGCGTGTAGCATCGTTTCCACTCGGATGGAGAACTTCATTCTTGGGCGTGCACTCAGTGTGAGCAGGCAACACCACCTAGAACACCAGGCCAGAGCGTGACGTCATCGACAGTGGATCTGCGACCCGCCCCTTTGCGGCAAAACGCGCTGGAGCTGGACAACAGCAGCCACAATGCGGGTGGACGCGTCCATCTTGGCGTCACCGCGTGTTAGCGTCGCGCTCGATGCGAGGCGCTGCAAGATGCGCTGGTGGCGACGCTGACGCAACCTATAGGCGACGCTTCGTGCGTGCACTAGAGATGGCGGTGTGTGTGTGTGTGGGGGGGGGGGGGGGATACGGGCTCAGCAAGAGGGGAGAACAATGCCCGCGTGTTCGTCGATTTAGTTTCGCTCCCACGCTTTCAATTGGAAGTACAGGGAACAAAGACCTCCCCTTTAGCGCCTCCGTGCTTCACGTTGAATAGTTTATAGGCCGCCTGATGAAGAGCAATTCAGATTTATCGCGCTCAATACAGCTTCATTAAAGTCCGAGGGTGAACAAAAGCAAGTACTTAACGGGGGGGGGGGGGGAGGGGGGGGAGGGGGGGGAGGGAGAAGTTGGGAGTAAAGAAACACGAGTATTTTTTTTTTTTTTTTTTTTTTTTTGCATTGCGAAAATAAAATAAACGTGGCCGAACGCCCGATTTTGGGCAAAAATGTAGCATTAGCGGTCGGGACCAGATGCTAAAGTTTCCGAACTTAGCGTTATCTTACTCAAAAGTTATAAGTGATTAATAAAAATGTTCGATGGGAAAATGGTGGCTAACGAATCCCGCGAGAACATGAAGATGAATATGGCGTCT